ATTCCAAAACCAGAACAAAAGTAAAGCGTTATGTAAATTATGTAAAATTGTAAGGAGCAGCGAGGTGGCTTTTACAGGGGTTCTGCTGGGGAAGAGGGGTGCGATCAGGAGGGTGGAAGAAACTGCTGGGCTGCACTTGGCAGCAGACAGCTTCAGCAAGTGCCCAGTGAGTGGCGGAGCTGTGGATGCTGAGGGCCTGGGCAAGCGGAAGTCTCTGCCCTTGTATAGCAGCTGCGATGTCAAGTGATGTGACCACCAGGCGCTCCGCAGCAGGTCACGCTGCTCTCTGTTGAGTGGTTGTCTAGGACACATGCACCAGAGTGCCACACACACACACACACACACACACACACACATACACACACACACACACACACACACACACACACACACACACACACACACACACACGGGGGCGGAGAGAGGGAGAACACTCCTGGAGTTATTCAGAATAAAACAAGAGCCACCTGCAGGCCCAAGTCAGTCTAGAAGATGGTCTCACAGGTAGTATGAGGCTGACACTCCTGCTTCTGATCAGAGTGCTGCAGGATGGCATGAGCTGAGGTCATGTCCAGAAGAGCCCAGGTTGGAGCCTGGGGACCTCAGCTTTAAGGCGAGACTGCAGGGCCATTGGAACAGTCACTTGCCTTGAGTATGAGCTAGTGAGGATGTGGACTGGACTCCAGCTGACCTCCTGCCTCAGGTGTGGGTGGCCATAGCTGACCACCTACCTCAGTGGCGCACACCCATGGATGACCTCCTGCTTCAGGAGCGGGTACCCCTGGCTGACCACCTGCCTCAGGGGCGGGTACCCCTGGCTGACCACCTGCCTCAGGGGCGGGTACCCCCTGCTGACCACCTGCCTCTAGCAACCACCTGCTATGGTCAGGCACTCCCTAACTGTGGCAAAATCAAGTTTGCCATCCTGAAAGCTCCTGAGGCCTGACATCCTGTCTCCTGCCCTTTGATTTCCACAAAGCATGGGGATGAGTGAAATGAAGTAAACCCTGCGTGGGCGGCCAAGCACAATGGTCCACACACTGGGGCTCTCAAGGCGCTGGCTGGCTAGTTCTAGACAGACTGTCCACCCCAGCAGTGGTTACAGTCTGTTCCTGGGAGCAGGAGGTACAGAAACTTCTTTTGGTAGGTGCCAGGGTGCTAATTACTGTCATCCATGGTGGGTGGTGGCAGTCATGCTGAGGGAGGGGACCTTCTCAGGTGCAGCCCTTGCCAGCAAGTTGCTGACGAGATGACCACGGAGAGATCAGGGCCTGTTGCATCCGTCAGGATAAAGCATCAGCCCCTGCCTCCCCTTAGACTGTGGTCATTCACCATCCAGAGCCCGACTGAAGAGTCCTGCATGAAGAAGGCAGGCCAGCTGGACTCCAGGGCATCGCTGTCACTGCCAACATAGAGCCGCCTCCCTTGGCTGAGAGGGCTAAACCAGGGCCACATATCAGGAAAGGGCCAGGAGAATACAGGGGCAACAAGCAGCGATGTGGAGAGCCCAGCCCGTCAAGGCAAAAGCATCCAAAGAACCACAGACTTCCTGGTGGCTGGCCACATCACCTGACTACCACATCTGTAAAAACCAGAAAGAACCCAGGGAGCTACCACCCTCGAAGCCACACTGCAGCCACTCCGGAGTGTCATTCCCTGAGCCTCTGTGACCACTGACCACTGGAGGCCATCCTGCAGCCAAGACCGCCACTGGAGCCCCCTGGAAAGCGCTGTGAATGCCGCAGGCCCACAGACCATTGGTCAAGCAACCTCAGGGACCCATCTGCTGGCTCAAGACTGTGGGAAGATCTGCAAACAGAGCAGGGGGCACTGGGGCAAGGACACTGGAGGATGACCCCCAGGGGTGACCTGAAGGCAGGGACAGCTGGGGCCCAGGAACCAGGATGCAGCATTTAGCTCCATCTGTGGTACCAGATGCTTGCATCCAATACAGCATCCAAGAGAAGAGGACCTACACAAAGAGAAAGCATTGCTCAGAATGCACATATGCACACACACATGCGTACACGCACGGTGTGCCCCACAACAGACACATACACATGCCTCTACATGCCTCCACAATGCACACACATTTCTGTACACTCGCTCCTCGGCCAAAGGACACACCCCGAGCCTCCAAAGGTTCAGATGTCTGTTCCTGTGGGGATCTCCCAATTGCGTGAGGAACATAGGCAAACCAGGGTCTTACCTCACCCCTCCTTTCTGAGCTCCAGAAATGTATGCACAAGGAGGACGTGGGCCTCACAAAAGCAGGGGTGTATAGTTTCAAAGAACTGTATGAAGTTGTCGGAGAGGCATGGAGATGAGACACACTTCTAAGTGCCCTAAATCCCCTTCCCACAACCAGCCTTGAAGCCCATGACTGCCAAGACCCTACAGAAGGTCCTCAGATACTCTGAGTGCTGTCACATGACCCAGCTCCCCTCATCCGACTCAAAGCACACAGGCTCTCTTCAAAACAGTTTTGAGGCCCCATGGACAGAGAAGTGCCAGCCCCTCCCCAGGCCTCTGTCATGGAGTCTCTAGGCATTAATAAGTTCACCCAAATAGACTGAAAACACACATAGGCTCTGCTGTTCAAACCACAGCCTGAGCACTGGGGGTTCCAAAAGAATCCAGCAGCTTGAAAGGTTTGAAAAAGTCTCATGCGGGGTCTGAGGGTGATCATAACCAGCACCTGCTGATGACACCTGGCTCCCCTGTGAAGTATGATTCTAGTGCTGGCCCCCTTTGCCACCCCACTGGGGTTCCCACTGAGACATCACTCTGAGGAAAACCCAGAGTAGGCAGCCCTGCTGTGTGTCCTTCATGCCACCAGACTGCACGCCCCCAAGCTTTAGGGGCGCCGTAGTTGCAGGGCATTGGGAGATAACGGTGGTAGGAGCGAAATCGGGCTGTAATACACCAGAATTCAGCTTTCAGGCAGGTGGGCCCTTTGCCCCAGGCAGGGCAGTCATTGCACAGAGCGGGGGCACTGGGGCCTGGGATGCTCTGAGCAGGAGCTGCAGGGTTCTGCAGGAGGAAACGGAGCAGTGTTGGAGTAGCCTACGTGGGCTGGGGCCCAGAACCACCAGCAAAAGTTCTGGGGTGGCTGTTCACAGCCTCCTAACCCCAGCTGGATGGGGACCTACTGCAGTCTCCGCTAGCCAGAGCAATCATTTGGACCAAAAAAAAAAAAAAAAAAGATGAGGTGTGGCTGCACAGGGAACCACACCTGCACCCACAGAGCCTTGCAGGAGTAGACACCATGGCCAGGCCCCGAGCCAGGCAGCCCTTTTCCTATGCTGTGTGGGGTGGGGTCTGATGTCCTCACCTCTCCTGGATTGAAGAACTACTGAGAGAAGACTGCCCTCAGTCCCAGGACCCTGCAGTGCCAAGCCCTGTGGTCTCCCACCACCTGAGCAGGGCCTGTGTCCTGTTACTGTTCTTGCCCACAAGCCAGGCTGGGCCTCGGGCTCATTCTTAGCACTGGTTCAGAAGAGACCACCTCTCTCTCAGGTGCCACGGGTAAGGCCACACACCTGACCACAGTGGCACCCAGGGTTTAAGAGGTCCAAGAGAGGATTGGCTGTAGAGACGGCTGAACACATCCAGTCTATCTACTGGGAGGGGGCGAGTAGGACCCAGACAGCTAATTCTTCCATGACCTTCCTTGAGGCTGACAAAATCACAAAGAGCAGCAGGTCAGAAGCCTGGCCCAGTCTAAGGCCACATGCTTGTGAATGGTGGGCCAGGTCCAAGGACAGGGGAGCAGTCTCACAGCAGGGCAGACATGGATGTTGCGCCTCCAAAGACTTTCATCCCATGGCTGCGATGTGCACACATTATGCCCCATACATGGGCATACGCATACATGCATATCCTAACAAATGCAAACACACATACCAACATTCATGGACACACACACACACACACACATGCCACACAGACACAAATGCATACACACCTATATAGGCACACACACACGCCTGTCTGCCTTAGCATACACAGTATGCACACAAGCACACCCATGGAGACACACACATACAGATGACATGTGAATTCAGACACTTGGAGTTGACTGATTAGCTCAAACAGTAGACAACCAAAGCGAGGCCACAATCCCTGTGCTTGAGAGACCTGATGTGGTTTTGGCACACTGGCAGCCAGGAACCTGGAAGTCACTCTTTTCTGACCAAGGCCTTCAGCTCTGTAAACCATGGGAGCTGGTGGAGGCGAGGTCCTGGGGGTGGCGGTGGACAGCTCCGCTCAGCACCCACCTGGACCACAGTGGTGCGGCGGCGCTCAGGCCCTCCAGGTCTACCACGTGCCCCTGAGCTCCTGGGATGTGTGATGATCTCAGCGCTCACAGTCCCCAGCCCACGCCACCTGCTCCTGAGCTTTTGTCTGCAGTGACTCATGACAATGAATGGAACATTCCACTGACTGTGGGGGCAGCCTGGTGGGAGCTTTCATCTCACTCTCGAGGTTCTTGGAAGAATCGGGCTGGGCTGTTCTGGCCCCAGAACAGGGACTGAGAAGGGGGAGGGAGTCCCCGGGCCCTGGGGGCTGTCTCCAGATGCAGAGAGCTGGACAAGCCCCCAGCCTGAGCAGAACAGGAGACTGGTGCGAGTTTCCAGTCTACCCAGAGCTGCCAGTGTGCGGGGTGTGGGCAGACAAGGAGGGTCCCCAAGAGCCCATGTACAGTGGTGACCGGCAGTAAAGGGGGACCAGCCCTTCCCCCAGGACATGGTGCATTGGGAGAAAAGACACCAGGGTCCCCTTGAAAGGCCCCACCCAATCCAAACACCCGACCCCGAGGAGGAGGAGGAGGAGGAGGAGGAGGAGGAGGAGGAGAAGGGCACCCAGTTTCTAGCACAGAACTAGGTTATTTAGGGATCCCACCAAGCTGAGAATCTCTCAGGCAGCTGCCTATGCTCTGAATGGAGTTGGGGCAATATGCCCAATGAATTGGATTAATTACTCAAAAGCCAGCGACATTCTGCTTCTGCCAGGAAAACCGCTTTCCTCTTTAATACAACTCACAGCCCTCCCTGCCAGCCTCCCTCAAATTAGACCGCAGCTGCAAACGAAACCCAAAATACAACACCCAGGCAAGGGACAGGGGCACAGTCCTGCCCCTGTGCTGCCCTGTTCCCCCACCAAGCTGACAGCTAAACTCTCAGGGGAAAAAGTCAGGGAAGAGGCTGTCTGCTTCATCCTGCACGGCCAGGCCAGGGCTGCCAAAATCCAAGCCCCACAGCTCTAGGGGGCCAGGCTGGAGCTCCGGGGAGATGGGCTCAGGGTCCCCCATGAAGCTTGGCTCTGCCCTGTCCATAGGGCTGCTCGTGGCCAGGGCTGGACCTCCTCTGCCCTCCACCGACCCTGGAAGAAAAGGGAACGTCAGAGCGGCAGGCATGCACCCCACACACTAGCAGCAGGCTGGTCCCGGCACAGGGGCTCCCAGGCTGCCACCACCTGTCCGTTCTGCAAGCCCTCTGCCCTCTGTGAGAAGGGAGTGTGAGCCTGTCTCTCCTCTCAGGGAGGTGGGATGAGCCCAACCCTGGTGATCCTACTCTCACGGCTTGGGAGATCTACTCATGGCAGAACCACTCAAGGCTGTGTTCCCTCAACACTGGACCCTAAAGGCAGTGAGGACATATAACATATGCCTTGTCTACCAGATAGATGTCCTGGTGGCCCAGTGAAGCTGACCTAGGAACATTCCTGAAAACATCCAGGACTCCACACAGCCATTTCCACATGTGCTCATGCAGTCACAACACATGTCACACTTGACCTCTGCCCCTGCCAGTCATCCTGACCAGCACCAGACAAGGAGGGGGAGACGACCTGGGGACCTTGAGTCAGAGAGCAAGCTGGGTCTGGGCACAGCCTCCCTGGTCCTGCCAGGTTAGACACAGGCCCCAGAGCCAGGGCCGGTGTGGGGAAAGGCAGCCTGGGCTCAGAGCCCCACTCACCCAGCCACCAGTCAGGATTGGTGGTCAGCAGAAAGGATGTTCCATCCACCACGTCGGACCCTGGCCCTGCGGTGTACCTGGAGATGAGAAGAGCCCTTAGTGGCCACAAGTGCACCCAGGCAACAGAACCTCAACAGACACCAATCCCAGTCTTGCAAAGGCACCTGAGACTCCACGGAGGCTCAGCCCGCCCGGACCAAGTGTAGAAATCAGCCTCAGGGTGCAGGCCCTAGCCACAGGGCTCTGCTGAACAGAGATCTGTGCTGGCTTCTCCAGCCACGGCCTCATCCCTCCCTCTGCCTCCCACACCCCAGCTGGTGTGTGCTCCCCAAACACAAATTTATTTCACCATCAGCCCAAACAAAAGACAATTAGGAGACAAAAATGTTTTAGAAACACATTATCAGAAAGCCACATGGCGAGTCTGGCTTGGGCCTGTTGCCTGGGCCTCCTCTCCATGTGGGGTAGAAGTCAGGACCAGAATTTTCCAGAAGTGGAGAAAGGCACAGACTAGTGCTGGGCTGAAGGCGGGCAAGTGATGGCTGCCACAGACCGACCCACAGACATAGACAGACAGACCCACACACACACACACACACACACACACACAAACACACACACACACACACACACCACGCAAGCACCCACCTGGCATCAGGCACAGATGTCAGGACCAAGTTGGCCTCCTCAGCCAGCATGCCCGGAGATTCAGTGTCCCTGGCCAGGGATCCCACGGGGTGCAACCCACCAGAAATGATGTCACTCGTCTGGGGGGTGGCTAACTGCCATGAGTGAGGAAGCCAGGGGGAGAGCCCGGGACTCAAGCTGGAAGGCTCTGAATGGAAAGAAGAAAGGTTAGCTCTCACGGTTTAGGCCAGGCTACCAGCGTATGGTGTGTACATGTGAAAGCCAGAAGCATTAACAACAGGGACTCAAGCAAGGAGTGTCCAAAACCAGGTGTCCAACCCCAGGTCAGGGCAGGTTCCTGGAGAAGGCAGTCCCCAGGCCTTGGGTCTCTCACATGGACTCAAATCAGGAGTTCCCCTCAGCACTGCCCCTGGGACCCAGGGCTCCTCCCCGAGACTAGCTGCCTATCCCCATGGCCCTCCATATGTGGCTGCTTAGAAGTCCTGCCCAGCTACGAGACTTCTAGACAGGGCAAATACCCATGATGGGAGACAAAAGAGCCAGGAAGGGCAAGTGTAAACTGTCTTCAGAGGCACCACACACACACACCGGTGACTCACTGGTACCTACTGACCAGGGCTTGGCATCGGGGAACAAAGCCCCATGCACTGGAGGTATAGTGGAAAAGGCTGAGGGCCTCAGAGTCACCCCAATTCCACACAGGCAGAGGCCAGACAGCCCAGCTCTTGCTCGACTCTGGGCACAGCAACAGTGGCAACCATTTCAGGGTCAGAGGTCACCTGGCCCAACCGTGACAATGTGCTCTGGGGTTTACCAAGCGGGGAGGAGGGTCTCTCCAGCAGTTCTGACACTCTCCCCAGGGCTTGGCTCTGGTCCATACCCAGCATCTCACAGCGTGGGGGGTCCTGCACTCTGAAAGAGTAAAAGACGTTAAGAAGGAGCTCAGAGCCCCATAGAGCAGAAGAATCGAGTAACCCCAATCTTCCCAGTGTCGAGAGTCTGCTGACCCCATCACCCTGTGCAAGACTGTCCCAGCAGACTCTTAAGGGACCGTCGTAAAGACACTCTGAGCATGAACCGTGACGTCAAAGGTGGGGGGGGGGCGAAGTGCTATTACGAAGCTGAGTACTACTGTTCAGACGTAGCTCAGAGCCCACAGGTGGGCCGCGGGGACACTAACCGAGCCGCACCGGATGCTTTTGCTATCCCGGAGTCCGGCGGCTTGCTGTCTGCACTCTGATCCGCCAGGGTCACCTGCACGACATCCCCCTGCCACAGGTGCCACATCTCCTGGGAAGGCTGAGGAACCTGAAGTTTAAATACACACAAACCAGCCAGAAGCTCGGGGGGACGCAGTGATGAAGCTGTTGCCCTCAGCCCAGCCTCCCCATCACATGGGATGCCCAGGGAGCCCCTTGAGTCTGGCCTGGGCCCAGAACAGGGAAAGGAGGTTCAGGGACTGAGCTTCACTTCTCAGACACCTCCCCGCTCTTGAGTCAGGCTGTATCCACCCGGGGGCTTGGCCACAGCGCCTCACGTCATCAGAACAGGCGTGACAAATGGACATGGGACGAGAATCAGGCAGCAGCCATGGGATCAAAGGGTAGAAGTCTAAGTTAAGTGTTCTTGGCCAGAACTGGGCATCTGGAGACCCTGAAACGCTCAACACTGGCATCACATATGGGCAACTAATCAATCAACAGTATTGGGAAAAGACGGGGGACACTTGCCCCCTCAGGAGAATACTAGCTGGTATGGTCTGGATGTATCCTGGGGGTGCAGCACATGTGCCCACTTTGGGCTGAAGGACGGGCCCACGGAGGCAAGGAGAATGTGGCCCCTGAACAAGGACACCACGTCGTAGACACACTGACAAGGCTCACCTGCTTACAACTCACGGAGAGCTGCTCCCAGCCAGGAGCCATACTGTGGGCAAGCTGGAGGAAGTACACAGTCATCTCCAGGACAGACGCCATGTCCTCCCGCCGGCCATCAAACTGAGGCAGCAGAGCCCGCAGGCGCTCACAGCTCAAGGAGATCCGCCTCCTGCTTCCAGACAAGCAGAAAAGGTCTAGCCTTCACCAGAAGGGGAAAAGAGCCTCTGGAAGTTATCACTGAGCAGCCACCAGGCCTCCTGAGCAGCAGGGTCAGCCCTCCAGCAGCCTGAGCCTTTGGGACTGTGACACGCACTGAGGGCACAGTCCTGAGGCAGCTCTGTTCTGGAATGTGCAGGGGTGAACCCAAGCCAGGAGTCCAGCCTCTAGAGGAACCCGAGTACACTAGTCTGTGGAGCCCCAGAGCGTCAGACCAAAGTCGCTGTAGCGACGCCCCTGCCCTCCTTCCACGAGGCTGAGTTTACCTGGGGATCGGGTGTTAATCCCCGTTGGTCCAGATGGGTAGCACTTGGTTAAACCACAGCCCCAAACCTGGAGACCCCTTTCTCTGAAGCCCCGTCCATCCCGGGGCTGCCCTCACCTGCGTTCTCTCTCGCTGATCACATTCCTCCGAAGGCAGGAGCCACAATTTGCCGCAGCCACAGGACCTGGGCGGGGGCCTGAGCCCTGTGAGGGCGTCGGTAAGCTGTCCCGGGTCTCAGGCTGAGGAGTCTTGCTACAGAGAGCAGAGCCAAGACCACCGGTGAACCCCACAAAAGCCGCCGGCGGCCCACATGCAGAACCAAGGCAGCTGGGGTGGACTTCCGAAAGGAAGAGGCGGCCAGGCCGGGGTCAACACCACCTGGCCAGCTCACGACCCCTCCCCGGCCTCCACGCCAAGGTGGGGCGCTCTGCCCGGCTGTGCCAGGCAGGGTGAAGACAGCAAGCAGCCCCTGGGCAAAGCCAGGCCTTGGGGCCCGACTCTCTCAGAGCCCGTCTGGCCACGCTTTACCTGCATCCCGTGATGCCGGAGCCGCCACAATCCTCAGAGGCCCGCTCCTGGCCGCTGGACGCCATTGGCACGAAGTTGGAGGGAAGGAGGCGACACCCGGGAAGCCACAGAGAGCCCCGAGCTCTGCCCGCCAGCGCCCCCCCCCTCCGCCCACCCTCTGCCCACCCTCAGGAGCGCCGCCTGCACCCAGCACCCGGAGTTCCACGCTCACGCAAGCAAGCGGCTCGCCACCCCCATGCCTCACGCCTGCCCACCTCGTGCCGGCCTCGCCCCGCCCCTCCTCGTGCTGGACTCTCTGCTTCCCGTGCTGGCCTTCAGCCCACATGACCTGACTGCGGGCCACGTGATGGGTGGCAGCCCGGGCTCGGGGCCCCTTGGCCAGAAAGTAGCAAAATGGTTCCACCCTCAGGGCGCTAGTGGATTCCTAGGGGCGTGGCCTGCCAGGCGCGCAGGGCTCCTCTTGCGCTTTTTGCCGAGCGTCGTGGGCTCCTTCCCACTCGAGGTAAGTCTGTGCCCACAGCTCTTGGGCGTGGCCTCCAGGCCTATTTGGAGGCCAGCCCCGCCTTCGGGAAGCTCACAACCTGGTTGGGAGAGGGAGGTTGATCCACTGTGTAGGTGCCACCTATGGGATCCGGGCCAGTTTCAGGAGGTCTACAGGCTGTCCAGGCATGCCCTGCCAGGTGGTTCCTTCGAGCAGGTGTTCTTCCCAAGTGCACAGTTATCACCCATGCTACAGGATCACCAGAACCAGGCAGCACCTGCCCTCCCTGACTCCTCTGGCCTGCCCACCCCACCCCACCCTACCTAAAGGGACTGGCTCTACTTACCAGAGCTGCCATCATTTAGGCTACATGAACCCCAGGTCCTGTCTCGGCAGCCAGATGTGCCAGCCACCTGCGTTCTTGGTCTGGGCCAGTACCAAGGTTTGGAGACCCCCATCTGGCACTGGTCGTCAAAAGCTCCATCGTAGCCTGCGAGAGTCCCTCGACAAATACTCCTTGGGTGGCTGGAGGACGGAAGGGAGGGATGGGAAAGCCTGAAGGGATGGGTAGTGGTAAGAGGTGGGTGCTGGGGATGCGGGCATCCCAGCGCGACTTCTCCTGGGGATGGTTGTTGCAGATCACTGCACCTCTCCTAGGGACCTGCAAAGAATAGACAGAACCACGGAGGAAAGGACGTCGCCACACAGTGGGACCTCTTGCCTCTGCTTCCAGCTGGGGTCCTGGGTGGAGCCATGGGGGAAGGGGATGGGGGTCAGCTGGAGAAAGGTGTCCCTAGAAAGATGTAGGAGGCACAGTCTTGCTCCTCTCCTCATCCTCGCTCTGCCCAGGCACCAGAACAACATTGGTTGGCCCAGCCAGGGCTGCAGGATGGCGGGCGAGGAGAGCAGGGGCACTGCTGACTGTGAGCTCATGAGCTCAGGCCACCTTGGTAGAGAGGCAAAGCCTTGGACTAAAAGTTACTGATTCTGGGGTGAGGGGTGGAGCCAGAGCCAGGGCCTTACTCTTTGCACTGGAGGCTCAGGACTTAAACCTCTGAGGCTGTAAGCCAGCCCCAGTTAAATGCTTTCTCTTCTGAGAGCTGCCTTGGCCACGGCGTCTCTTCCTAGCAATAGAACACTGACTGAAACAGGACCTTCGGAGAGATTTGAAGGGTGTAAGGTCAGTGACCAGCACACTGTGGACCCTCCAGTGTGCTGACTGGGCCCCCAGTAAGAGACTGGGTTAGCGGCCCAGGCCTGGAGAAAAGGTGAACGGAAGCTGGCTTAACCCCTATCTTCTAGTACTGTTTCATCTCTCCTGCCCCCAGTCCTCATCGCCACAGTGTTGGTTTGGTGAGGGCGATTAAAAACACTGGACAGCAAAGGCCCATATTCAAGGTTTCAGGGTGTCTTGTGAATACTCCACCTACCAGAGTGTTGTCCTGCATCACTGGGCTGTGGCACCTGAGGGTGGTACTGCACCCACTCCACTATTTGTTGAAAGGTGCCCAGGTGACGGAGGGCTGGGCAGAAGTCACTGTGTTACCTGGAGTCTGGCAGCTTCCTGGCAGTGGTGCCCTAGCTAGGGCATGGGGGCTGTGGGTACAGGCCTCTACCCAACTGGGCACTGCTGGAAGAGGAGGAAGAGGGGAAAGCTGGCAGGACACAGTAGCAGCGTGGTGCCATCGATGCTCGCCCACTTTAAATGCAGAGGCCCTTTTCCTTCCCAGTGCCCCACATAAGCCTGGGTCACCCAAGTTTGGGCACATGGCCCTAGGCCACGATAGGGTTTCCAGATGTTAAGGGTTTTCTTTCTGGCTTCCGGGGTAAGGAGGCTTTTCAAATCCAGCGATGAAATGAGTGGGCCCCAGCAAAGATGTACATGGGACCTAGAGTCAAGACAGATGCTTGACACCCTTTCAGTTTGGACCAGACACTGACGCCGTAGGGTGCGATCAGCAGGGGGCGCGCGCGCACGCGCGGACAAGCGCCTGAACCAAGACTACCGGATTTGTTGTTGTTGTTCCTCTGCCCTCCCCCCCCACTA